CTTTTTGTGTCCGAGCCACCTATTCTGTGGTGCTATCTTAGGGCAGCCCCAGCAAATGAAAATACACAGGGATTATTTGTGGAGTTTTCAATTTCTTTTTCTTAAGTTACCTTCCATCTCTGGCGATCTTGGAATCACTCTTGACTTTAATCTGTCTGCAAGACTTTGACTATACTTTCAAGATACATTCAGACCCCACACTACCTGCTTTTGCCCTGGTGGCTGCCATCACCTGCCACCTGACTTACAGCAGTTATCTTCTAGTTGGTCCTCCTGCTCCCCCCTTAGTGCCCCTTCACTCTACCCCCAGTAGAGCATCTAGAATGATCCAGTTGAAATGCAACTCAGGCAACATCACAACTTGGATCAAAACTCTGCCATCTCGATTCTTAAGTCGTTGTGTGGGCTGTGAAGCCCTGTGAGGTCTGTCCTTAGTGACCTCTGTGGCCTCTACTCCTGCTGGGTCCCTGCCCAGCTCACACTGCTCTGGGTGTCTGGGCCTCTCTGCTGTCCAGTGTGCCAGGACTGTGTCCTTATCTGTACTTGTCCCCCCTCTGCTTAGAATACCCTCTCAGGTATCTAAATGGCACATCACAGCATCCAGCAAATATTTCATGAAGGAATAGGGAATAAATGAAAAGATTCAGATTAAAAAGATAAAAGTAAAGCCTTTTAGTTATACATAAAATTATGCCTCCATTTGTTCCTTATTAGCTTCTTATGCGCAAGTAGCAACTAGACATTTTCTGTTTTCAAGTGAGGGCTCCTCATAGAAAAGTCACCTAATAAATATTTAATCATTTGTAGAATCCAATAAAACAAAATACAAAAAATTCCAATTCCCTTCACCTTGCATGAACTGCTTTGCAATTGCTGGTGGGTTTAGACAATTCTGTCTTGATGGAGACCTTTTTTTGTCCTCCTTGCAGCAGATAAAACCAAGTGAAGCTTGGCCTCATGATGATGATGCTTCCTGATTAGTGGTTAGGGTCTGATTCCCACTATCTCTGAATTTCTTTAAACCTTTTTGGTGAGAAGATCCACAGACTGAGATTTCTAAATTCCTAACTTAAATCTCTTTCCTTGTTTTATATTAACAGTTTCACTTTTTTGTTTGTTTGTTTGGTAGAGACAGAGTCTCACTTCATCACCCTTGGTGGAGTACTGTGGTGTCACAGCTCACAGAAACCTCCAACTCCTGGGCTTAAGCGATTCTCTTTCCTCAGCCTCCCAAGTAGCTGGGACTACAGGCACCCGCCTCAACGCCCAGCTATTTTTGGTTGCAGTTCGGCTGGGCCAGGTTTGAACTCGCCACCCTTGGTATATGGGACTGGTGCCCTACTCAGTGAGCCACAGGCGCTGCCCAACAGTTTCACTTTTAAGCAAAGTATCTAAATACCCAGAAAAACAAAACAAAGGAAACAGAACATTTTCCAGTCTCTCTTGCCAATGACTATGACCATAAGACTATTTTCTAATCAAGGGGATATCAGTTCAAAAAGAATTGGTATGTAACCTTTTCTCTCTTTTTTGGTGTGCTTCTTCCTTCATCCTGCTGCCTGGAATAAGATGGCTGAAACTCTAGCTGCAATTTTGGGTATTATGGAAAAGGGCCATACCTCAGTGGATAAGGGAGGAGCTGGAAGGGAGTGAGATTAGTACTACAGAGAAGAACCATAGTACTGTAAGGGCCAGACCAGCGCCATTTTGTTGTCTACTACATAAGCTCTGTTAAACCGCAGGGCCACTCCCTGCTGCCTCCCCCACACCTGCTTGCATAGCCATTAAGCCGTTGATTGAGACACCTTAGGCAGACAGCTGCCATAATAGGCAATAGGTTTCAGTCTTCTTATAGCTACCATAATAGGCAATAAGTATCAGTTCCCTTGAACAGCTCCCATAATAGGCAATAGGTTTCTATTTACTTGAAATTCAGGTATTCTCCTTCCTAATTAGGCTACACCACCTCTAGCCCCAGTTAAGAAATCCCTCCACCCCTCACCTGTACCAATCCAAATCCTCCCTTACTAATGAAATCATCAACCACCAATCAAAAGTGTACTCGTATCCAACCCTATCCTTCTTGCTTTCTGTATCCCATAAAAACTTGCTCTACCCCGAGTTCGGGGCTCATCCTCGGCTTGCATGCCAGGAGAGTCCAGGCTTCCCGGAGCCTGAATAAAACTCACCTCGTGCCTTTTACATCAGAGTGTGTCTAGGATTTGTCTGTTGGGGCCACTTGGAAGAATTTCGGGCTTAACAGTACTAACCCTTGATGTCTTGCTTCTGGGCTTATGTGAGAAAGAATTTCTCTCTTATTTAAGTCACCAATATTTTGGAGCTCACCAGCAAATCAATAGGCCCAAATATCACGACTATACAGTGTCTGGAACTTTGCTTAAAATAAGTTACTGTTAAATCACTTAAATGAATCAAGACAAAAGAAAGAATTTGCAATGATAAAGTCTTTATTTTCTATATTTGATTTCTTATAATCATTTTGGAAAAATAGTTGTGTCTCCAAATGTACTTTCAGTGAAGGAAGCTGATATGACTAAAGCATTATTCTAAGTGATCATGGAAAAATATCTGTTACTGAAAACAAGCCTTCCATTCCATTTACATTTTACACATAACTTAACACAAGCATAAGGGGAAGGTCTGAGGTCAGAAGTAGGGGTCATTTCTCTTAACTGAAACACTAGATCAGAAGAAAGCCTTTGGTGATTAGCAATCCAAATATGAGGTTTTTAATCCTCATAAAAATAACAATTGCTTTATAAACATGGAAATGCATGGTGTTTTCAGGAAATCTTTTGGAAGTATGTCTTTTTATCTTTACTCTTGCTATTCTTTTAGACCGTTTGAGGTTTATTTAACATTCAAATTTGCTTAACATTCAAATTTAGCTGCGGTAATTATCTGCTCCCCTCTTTTGACTGGTTCCATACACGCTATAAACAAACACATTCATTTTGCTCTCTTACTGATCTTCCAAAACGTCTCATATAATTGGGAGTAACCTAGGATTCACTTATCATTAAATACATTTTTATTAGAAAGGATAGACAGTGTATGAAATTACAGGTGTTTCACGAGTTAAAGACAAAATTTAGAACTCTCAACTAATGTTTCCAATATAAACATCACAATCATTACATTAGATAAAACAAAGCACAATATTCACAACACAATATATTTTATTTGGTTTTGATATTGAAGTTGTTTTCTTGAATTATTTATGTAGAACTCAAAATTTAATTACTTTGTCATCATTTTTCTTCAAGAATCTGAAAAAGAAAGAATTGTTGCCTTAAGGATAAGAATATTTGATAACAAACTTACCACTTCACAAATGAAAAAAATCTATGCATATTTTCTTTTCTAAAAAAAAAATACTATTGGGGACATAAGGACTACATTCACTTTATTATTCCCAAATCCTTTTGGGGACATAAGGCCCACACTTACTTTATAGGTAAAACAAGCTAAATTTGACCTTTACTGCATGAAGCTTGCTATGTTTCAAACAATGCAATTAGACCCAAGGAATGCAATGCCTTTGTGTTTTGTGATACTGAATCATGCTATAATTTTATGGTATTTCCCTAGACTTAAATGAGATGCTAACAGTCAATCATGGGACTCAAACTTAAATGAATCAAGGCAGCATGGTCGAGTCTCAGAAAGAATGCCAGTTTTTCTCATAAGTGTGATTCAGGCTCTTCCATTTTTCATCTTGACACAAGAAAGAAGTAAGTGTGAAGAAACCAGGAATATGATTCAGATACCAAACCCTTTGCTCAAAACTTTGTGTGAATCATTTTAAGCTATCTAGTGGGTTCGGCTAAGTGTCCTTCTCATGATGAGAAATTATCTCTAAACTGCTTCTTCCTAATTTATTTACACTCTTACTTATTTACATAGTCAGGTGGCTGCTGTAAGAACATAGTGAGAAAGTGCAGGTATACCCACCACGGGGAAACTGTCTTCAGCTTTGCTCCAGCATGCGTTTCATTAGTTTTCTGACTCAGGAGATTCATTCTCACTACCGTAGAACAGAGAAGGAAAATGATGCATGTTAAGGCTCTTAGATGAGAAAGGATCTAAAGAAACAGTTAGGACATAATGATGCTGTCCTTTGTGCTCTGGAAAGTGTGCAGGAGCTAAACAATTGTCTCTGAGATTAGCTAGTACCCATGCATTTTTCCGTTAACTTGGAATTTCTGAAATTATTCTTATAGACTATAATCCAGTGGGCAAAGAGGATAATTTTGTCTCATCTCACCGAAAAGAATTATCCTTAATCCTCATCATACAAACAAAAATAACTGGAATAAAAACAGAGTACTTTACTGCCTAGGTACTGTGTCCAATATTTAGACAGCACAGAGAGACGTAGGACTTACAGACTCTACATAAAAAAAAAAAATACCTAATAGTTGAGTGGAATTAAATGAGAGTGCTGGATATGTGCATGATCAGAGTTCCGTGTATTTCCTAATGTCTAATTGACTGCACTTTACATGTTCTAAACATCAGCACTTTTGATTAAAGTTGTTCCCAGATTCAGAATAGATGTCTCTATGATCATTTTTTAACACAGGTGGCATCATAGAATCAACTGGGGGGCTTTTAAAAATATGTGTGTCGGGTGGTGCCTGTGGCTCAAAGGAGTAGGGTACCGGCCCCATATACCAGAGGTGGTGGGTTCATACCCAGACCTGGCCAAAAAAAAAAAAAAAAAACAACTGCAAAGAAAAAAAAATACATATGTCTAGGGCTGCACTGCCAAAGGCACTGGATTTTTGGCAGTTTGGTTTGTATAAGGCCCAGACATCAGTATTTTAAAAATTCTCCAGGGTAGTCTAATGTCAGTCAAGGTGCAAATTACCACTTCATACAATATAGACAGAGGGAAATACAGAGAGATAGGTCTCTGTATATATCCTATATTTGAGTCATTTATAATTTCTCATTTTAGCAGGTTCTCAGTTTCTTTACCTCCTCTTTCCATTCAGAATTGAGTTCAAGTATTTCATTGCAGCTATTTTTTTTCTAAGACGAGTATAGTTATCAGTGAAGATTGCATCTGAGTGACGTTTCATTAGGACAGGGTCTTCTGAGATGTTACTGCTAAGAGAAGTAAAAGAAAAGAAATCAAAGAGTTTTAAAAAGAAAAGAGAAACATACAAATGTTCCAAATTTCTAGGAGTCAGATGAAAAGCAATGCCATCACCCAAGTCATTTCTATCACACACACACACACACAAACCTAAAAGAAAAATAACAACTAAACCCAACCCAAGGATAGTGGAGCAAGGAATAATCTAACATACTTTAGCATGACCTGGGAATGCCTTAACATATTCTGTATTGAGCATATAATTAAGAAAAACAAGGAACTGGAGAATATTTGAAGTCTATTCTGCCATTGAAAGGCATCTTCTTTTAACATAAATGCTTCTTTAGAAGCTTAGATACCCTGAGCTGTGTCATGTAAATTTTCAGCTATGGGTCACTTAAAGAAAGAACCCCCCAGAACTTGTTTTGAGCAGAAAGTAAAAAGCATGTACTGTGGTTCGTCTTAATTTTTTTTTTTTTTAAACAGAGTCTAATTATATTTCTCTGGGTAGAGTGCCCTGGCATCATAGCTAACATCAACCTCAAACTCTTACCTTGAGTAATCCTCTTGCCTCAGCCTCCTGAGTGGCTGGGATAACAGGCAACTGCCACAAAGCCTGGCTAGTTTTTTTTTTAGTTGAAATGGAGTCTCACTCTTTCTCAGGCTGTTCTCAAACTCTTTAGCTCAAGCAATCCAGCCACCTTTGCCTCCCAGAGTGCTAGGATTACAGGTATGAGCAACTGCGCCCAGCCTGACCTTAACATTTACTTTCATTTTTGCTATTTCTTCTAGAGTCAATGAGTATAACATCAAAAGACGTATTTTCTTAGTCTATGGACTGAAATATTTTATTCAAGAATATATTTTATTTAACCAATATGAACATTAGCAAAGAGTTATCAATTTTAAACAATGTAAATAACTTGTTGAGAGTGAAAACGTAATTTGTGGATTGAGTAATTATAACACTTTTGATACAAATAAAACACTGTCTTTACCTAACTCGTTTTCCAATAAGAGACTCCAGATACTTTTTGGCAGAAATTTGACCCAGGAGTCTGCTATAGTCACTGGTGAAAACTCCATCAGCATGTCTGGCATTTCTAAAACAAAGATAAAAAGATAGCAACTATTTCATAAATCATTTTCTAGAACACTATTTTGAATTATTAAATAGCAGAGAAATTTATCATGAAAGTCTCTCACTAACTCTCAAGTCTAAGAGGAGGATTCCTCACACTCTAAATAGTTACTTTCTATTGACTTGTATCAAGATACATTCTATAATTCTAGCACAAGACTGAAAAATTAACATGAACTTTTCTAGAGGTATAGTTCAATATTACTTTCTGGTAGAATCTTTAAAAACCAATTATTTTCTACATGTATTAGTGTGAAAAATATATATTAATTAGTTTCTGTTTATTTCTGCTGCACTGAATAAAGACATATGCAATGAGAAAATATTCTATTTGGGCAAGTTCAGAAACTTGTGAAACCTTTTGCTATTTCTTATGCCAAAATATTTGGAAACAAAAGCTCTTAAGATAGAGAGGGTCTCATGGCATTTCAAGCAATCTCTTCATCCAAATTAGGACCCTTTTATCCTTTGTCTTTACCATAGAGCTGCTCCATTTGTACTGTGCGGCTGCTGTAGGCAAACAGTTCTACGGATGAACAACCTTAACTGTTAGGCATTTTTTCTTCACGTAGAAACTCTTTCATTAGCACCATCATCA